TTCTTCTTCGTTCTTCTCTCTCTCTCTCTCTCTCTCTCTCTCTCTCTCTCGTTCGCTCTCTCTCTCTCTCTCTCTCTCGCTCTCTTTCTTTGTTTCTGTTTGTTCGTTGAAAAAATAAATCGCTCTTTTCTAGATTACGCTGTTTCTTCTTCTGTGCCGCGCGACTCGCGATTTCGCAACACGCGCAATTTTTTTGTGACAGGCCCTCATCGGAGCCAACGCTATTATTTTAAATAATGTAGGGTTCTCGTGGACGCGACCCAGTTTTTGTGTCTCGTCTAAAGTTCTCCTCTAATCGATACACCTACGATCTATCGCGACTGGTTTTGCTTTCGATTGCTTTCTTGCTTCCCCTTCGAGATCTTCTAATTGATTCGAATCGATTGCCGACTAATTGTCTCGTGGCTTGTTCGCCCCAAGCGTTGTTGGAAACGTTATCTGAATCTTTGGAAGTAATTTTCTTTTATCCGTAGTGACTCTAAATTACATACAATTATACGTGTAATTTTATTCATACAGAGACTAGTTGAATTCTTTTTGTAAAAAGAAGAAAAGAATAATTAAGGGATCGTTTTGTATCGAGCAGTGTGTAATTCTCAAGTAATATTTTTATTATTAATCATCTATGAAAATGATCGAAAATGTTGATATCAGACTCGTAATACAGCAATAATCGTTTTCCTCGAGATAAAAAAATCAATTCCAATTATTCAAACAACGTTTCTCAATTCTAACTCTTTGTCAAACTAGACGGAAGAAGCAATAAATCGAAGATCGAATATCTTGGACAGAAAGAAAATATCGAAGTGGCGAGAAGACTATGCGGAGACATCAACGCTGGATCAAGCGCGAACGCTCGATCTGTGTTTTATCGGAAATCGGTAACGAAACCGATTTTCCCTGAGAATAAAATCGTCGTCGTTAAAATTGTGACGAATCAATCGTCGTCACTCGATTAATTCGATTTTTCGTTTACATTAAATCATGATCGCGCATCTCCAAGTTCGTTCCATCAAAATTTATTCGTCGAATCAAATAAGGAAAAAAAAAAAAGAAAGTCGATAGATAATTCTGAATCGATACTCGATGCGTAGACAGATCGATAGATCGTGGAATCGAAGGGGAATCACGATGGTGTTCGTTGATACCTGCTGTATTCTGCCTTTCTCTTTCGCTGCTCTTTTTCGAGAATTGGAAAGCGATTAACCGAGAGCGACAGTCTGTTTTCCTTGAAACACGTACGTTCGAAACTTCCGTCTGCCAGACGGATAAAGGGAACTTGGGAGTGGAAAAATAGCTAGCGACGATGCTGTTTTCTCTTCTTGCCTCGATGGGATCGGAGGGAGGGATCAGCGAGCATGAAGCGTACGTCGTGCAAGATAATCGTAGCCGTTAAATGTACGTGGTAATTGCAACAGTTTGGCAGTCTTTAAACGATAAACGTTTCCATTTCCATTCTGGTTTTTGATATATTCCGTTGTAATTCGATGAAAAAACTTACCGATAACGTGTTCTCGATTGAAAGTATCAATTTATCGGATACGAAATAAAAAAAAAAAAAAAGAAAGAAAGACGATAGTCTTTCGAAGTTTCTTATCTCTAAATTTAGAAGAATTTCAATAAAGAAGCTTGGAGAATTCTTTTTAATCGGAGAGCCACTTGTTATTCACGAGAAGGAAAACAACCTCGACAAATCCTTTCCTTTAAGGAACCAATAACATCGTGTCAATAATTTTCGCAAGAGGATTCATAGCAAACGATTTTAGAACATTCGGGCGTGCATCGAACAACGCTCCTCGTCTCGAATCGAGACCGATAAAGAACCACAGTTTTTCCCACTTTCCTGTTTTACATAACTCCTCGACCAGAAATATAATCAATGTCGCATCGGATCGTTAAGCAAAATCGAAAGATCGAAAAAAATCGCTGGTTCCTCGTTTCGTTTCGCGTTGATCGAGTCGAGAGAAGTTGAAGCGAGATTTTCCTCGATCGGTTCGCTTTCACGAAACCATTCTTTTCCTTTATTCGCGTTTCTTCTTCTCGTTTCTTCAAAGAGGCGGTAAGGCATTGTCGGATATGTCAGCTGAGATCTTCGAATCGCTCCGGTGAGTTGCGTTTACATCGAAGGCTTTTTACAAAAATATCATCCCCTTTCTTCTTTTCGCGCCCCACTTTCCATGATCTTCCCATGATCTTTCATCTTTATCTTATTCTTTTTTTAATACAATTGTGATAGAGTCGACTACTGTTTCGCCGTTTCTTTTTTTTTTATTTTTTTTTTTATTTCTTCTTTGTTCTTTTTTTTTTTTTTTTCTAGGGACTGCTGCGGATGCTGCGTTAGAAAAATTCGCTTCGAAAACAGGAAGAAACATTAATACACGAGGTATCTTTTTTAGTTTTGTCTGTACGCTTACTCGAAAAGCAGCCGGCCGCGTTTACTGTCCATCTTTTTTTTTTTTCTTTTTTTATTCTTCCTCGTTTGTCGTTCTTACAGTCGTCTCGGGACAGCGGTACAATTGCACTTTTGTTTGTGTGCTAGAAAATAACGAAGAAAACAAATCAAGTGCACATCAGCGACGAAACACTTTTTTTTTTTTCTTTTTCGAATTGTTTCTTCTTTGCTTGTGTTCTTCACGCGTGATGATTCCAATCTACGATCGTTTACACAATTTTCCTGACTTTTATGCCGTGTTTCTTCTTCCTTCTCTTTTTCATCTCTTGTCACTCTTTGGCACATTTACCGGAACACGTTGTACACGCGTCCAGATACATCATCGTTTGGAAACGTTCTTCTCTCGGTTAATACACCAAGGATTAAAAAATTCAATGTATTTTTTTCCCTTCGAGTCAAACGTTTAAGAACGGTTAACGTTATTTCCATTTAACGATTATATTCTTATATGGTTTACATTATGAAAATCTTTCATTGAAAATCAAAATTTTAATCTTGGAATTACAAAGAATCAAGATAGAACAATCTTTTTCCAGGAGCTTTCAGAAGTTAAATAACGTGCCATTCGTAAATAACACTATGAAAAATTGGAAAGAAACCCTTTTCTTCGATCGCGATTTTAAATTTTCGATTTTCGAACACGAATCTTTGAATCACCGATGCTTCTCGTTTCCCCTCATCGGCCCGCCTTCCCATTCGGCTGTTCGGCTTACACATACGCGATAATAACTATTTAAGCTTATTTTTTCGCGATTTTTTTCTTTTTTACTTCTTTTTACTTCCTTTTTATCTTTTTTTTTTTTTTTTTATCTTTTTTTTCCTCTTTAAAAGCGAGCAAAATCGCGGACGATCATCGGTATTCGATAAAACGACTCGTGGACTCGTCGATGTTTTCAACTTATACACACTACTATCAGTAAAATTACATTTAACTTGGTAACAGGTAGATATATTAAACAAGACGTATAACCATTTACTTTTACAACAACGTTCGCTACGTTTATACTCACGAAATTGATAATTATTAATACTACTACTCGTTTATGTAAATGTAATTATTGCGGTAACAATTACGTTATTTAAATAGTTGGCGAAACACGTTCGTCGATATTAACAAACCAGTTCCTGAAACTGATCTTCCTTTTTTCTTTTTTTTCTTTTTTCTTTTTTTTTCCTTTTTTTTTTTTTTTTTTGTTTTCTATCGTATAGGAAATCAAACTTTCTACTTAATTTGAAATTTAATTCTACTTTCTTCCCTTTTCCATTAACGCGAACCACGTATTGAATTCTACTTTCTTGTTATTCAATAAAAGGAGCGAAATAAAATTCCATCTCTAAGGAATAAATCATTTTCATCTTAAGATAGATAGAAAAAGAGTTATAATATTTAAATAAATGAAATTAATAGGGGAACCGCTCTACTAACTCGCACAAGTAATAAATTATCTTCCTCCGTTTTTCCAATTTAGCGATCGTGAAATCAACGTGATCGTGCGCCACGATTCGAAAAATTCGAAATACATTCGGGTACAATAAAGATGATACAAATTGCGTCATTTAGAAAATCCTCTTCCTTCCCTCCCTCGTGTCTATATGATTTCATCGTAAAAAATGTCCAAACGACGCGAGAATCCACGGACCGAAGTGAAAAAGCGTGAAATATTCTTTGTATGAAAAATACAAGTGTGTTCGAGTTTTCCGAGCGTGGAGCACGAATAGAAAGGATCGTCGCTTTCAACAGCAATTTCCACTATGCGATCCACTGTGCGAAGCAACGATTATCTCGTTGCGAATGATAATTCGTGGAAATCTTTCTTTTCTCTTCCCTCTCGACCACGACTCAATAAGAAATTTTTGACAAATTTTTGCCGCGATCGTCCGCGACCCCTCGAAAATTCGAACGACCAGGCTCATTGCTAAGTACGCGTTGTCTATTTTTTCTTTTTTTTTCTATTCTTTTTTTTTTTTCTTTTAATTCGTTGAAAATATTATCGCAATTATTCTTAGCAGAATCTTCTCTCTTCTTTTTCCTTCTGCGCGCTCTTCACGACACCTCACCTCGCGCGGCGAGCGAGGTGCGATCGGGTAGGTACAAGTTTGCAATTCCACTACAACAGTCAATAATATTATCGTATATAATATATATGTGTATCGTATATAATATATTTTGTTAAGCCTCAACAATTCCCAATAATAAGTCTATGTTTAGTCTCTGCCTCTCCTCGATTCGGATTTTTGTCGATTTTGTTCCTCGATCTTTGCATGCAACGCCGTTGCCTCTTGATTTACTTTCATTTACTAACGCTTATCTAGGTTATGTGCAAAAATAGAGTTTCGGGCATCTGTAGTCGAAGGTTCTAACAGGCTTAAAATTTAAGATTCGAAATAAATTATTTTTAATTTATGAGAGCTTGAAATTTGAGACAATAGCACCAAATATACATACATACATACATACATACATACATACATATATATATGTATATATACACATGGATCCGCTTGAAATTATATTCTTTTCTTTTCTCGACACCGATTGTCATCACCGCCGCTAAATAAGCCAGCCGAGGAATTCGATCGACGAAAATCCTGACCGACGACACAGTCCAGGTAGGATCTTCGATAACGTATTTTAGTCAACAGTGAACCACCGTGTCTCACGTGTCTCTCATATCATCGTGGCACGTGAAAACGTTTCTTCGTGATCGTGTTCTGTTTCGAGCATAATCCGTAGCACAAGTTCGTAGCACTCGTAGGATCCCACTGATGGTACCTCGTACTCGCGAACCTTTCCGTCTCTGGTAGAGTCTCTGAGATTGAATCTCGTTAGGATCATTAATTTATTTAAGGGTATCATAATTAATATATACGCGAAACAATCCCTAACAGTTTGGCACAGTCGATCTTCCGTCTCCCTCATGTAACGTTGTCCTCGCACTCGTAGCGTCTTTAGCGTTTATAATAGATCTCGTCTTCGATCGTATATTTCTTTTGTACTCGTGTTTCGTTTCGTCTCCTTCGGATCTTCCGCGTCTCTTTATTTCTCGTCGCATGATTCTCGTCTCATCAGAGCCGGCTCTCGTTACAGCTTCATGGGTAAAGAGTTTAGAAGCTTTCGGTGCCGGTTAAATTCGAAGGCTCGTCAACAAAGAGAGGCGAATCACGACAACGTGGACGATCACGCCACCCAACATCTTCTTTCTGCCCCCCCTTGTGGCTCGTTTCTTTCCCTTCCTTTTCCCATTTCTCTTGTTTTCTTCCTCAAGAATTCCCACCACCAAGGCCAGGTTCGATTTAGCACCCGACTGAGAGCTCGACCGTCGAATCGAGAGCGTTCGATGAAGATGAAGAGCAAGCTCGTCCTCCTCTCGTCGATTTCTCTTCGTTTCGGGTCGTTGTCGATCGATGACGAGCTCGATGATCGATTTCCCGGTCCATCATCATCATCGATCTCTTCAGCTTCTTATGACGGTTCAGCGTCGACCACGCTCCAATTGTGTCGCGGGCCGAGCTCTGGTCAGGTTGGGCTACGGTGGTTCCGGCTCGGAGGTGGGAGATTCCTGCTACGCCTCCAGGAATATCAGGGCTGTCGGCTTCGGCTCCAGGTTGCTCTTCTTCGCCTCGACTACCAGGAACTCGATCTCGTTGCGATCGCGCCTCGCGAACGACTCCGCGATCAGTCTTGCTACCTCCTGATGATGGAGACCTGTCGTGGAGAGACACATCGGATCGATCGGATTTCTAATTTTAATTTTATACCGCGTTGGATCGACGCGAGGTAATTACCTTCCACTTTGTGTCCATCGACTTCTAGGATCAGTTGACCGACCTCGAGGCCACCGGCCTCGTAAGCTGCTCCATTATCCTGCCAATACGTCGATCGATTAATCGAGCTTCCCTTATAATTTCTACTCAATGATATTTTGCTCGACATCTTCGTTTATCGAACATGCCTCTCGATTTGCAGATCGCAATTTTATTTGAAATTCATTTTCAAAACGGAGCAAAGTAAGAACGAATAAATATTCCTTACGTGTATATTGATGATCCTGGGCAGTGGATGTTTGGTATTGGCACCGCCCTCGATGGCAATGCCCAAAATCGACTTGGTCTTCTTCACGGTGATCCTCAGATTGCCCTGGTGATCGGGGACCACCAACGCGCCGTCCTCTTCCCTTCTCTCCGACATTTCGCTTCTGGCCAATCTTTGAGCGCTGTGATGCCTTCGTGGCGGACCACCCGCACCCCCAGCGCCCGCTGTAGCGGCACCAGAACCACCCTCCTCGAGGAGCTGAGCCTCCTGCATGTCGAAGCTCCGCGAGAGCTTGTGCGCGAGTTCCTGAAACGGGCACAGCTTCGTTTCATTCGGCGGAAATTGAGCACCCGGTCTTGCTTCCGGTCGACCTTGCAGCACCGTGACAGCCACCGCCTATCGTTTATTATTCTCCTACGTCCAATTTCTTGAAATCTTCCCTTCCCCCCCCCCCCCAAATTTCAACGCTTGTTTTTCGATTCGTTGTTAATTTTGCTTTACGATTTGCTACGATTTGCCGATTTCAGAGTGATTATTTCGTTCGTTGGAAACGATAACGATTTGTCCAATTTTATCTACATTGCACGTGTAAAATTTTAGTGTCGCGAAAGAAGGTGAAAAGCGTTTTTTCAATCACGGTTAACTGTCACGCAGCCCGTCAAAGCCACCTCGAACACGCACGATGACAGCGCACAAGAGCTAAGGAGGCTGATGCTGACAAGTTCGTGTGCACGCTGTAGTCGAAGGGAGTCCTGGTAGTCTGGAAAGTTGGTAAATTTTCACCTGTCTCGACGAGAAACACAACGTTACCATTATAGGTAATCATAACGACTAATTATTTTGCGCCTCGAAACTCTTCCTGACCACGATTCTCGTGCAAAGTGTAACACCTTCATACAGCCACGAATAAAAATTTATACAAATATAATTCGACGTAATACTTTCCATCGTTTACGCTTAAATATCATCTTATACAAAGTCAACAATTTCACCAAATTCTCTTTTCCAACTTGCATCGCCTACCGGGTATCTCTTCCCCACAACGGTGCACATCTCTCCCGGTTACCTATATGCAATCGTATCACAACATCGTGACAGGAATAAAAAAAAAAAAAGAACAGTATGAATAAAAAGTATATATATATATATACATATATAAAAATAAATATAAATATATTATATTTATATACATATAGATAGATAAGATATATGTATATCGATATAGGTATCACAAGAGTATATTAAAAAAATTAAGTTTCATGCTTGCTGATAGGCTAGTAGCAGTTGGGTGTTGGTGGTGCTCGGACAGAGTGGTGGTGGTGGTGGTGGTAGTGGTGGTGTTTTTCGTGCAGTTATATTACGATCGAATCACATTCTTGTTTCTTTCTTTTTCAAACAAACACCCGATTGCACGATCATCTTTTTCGTAACGCACGACATCAACGAAATTTCACTTCAATTTTCAATCGTGCGGGGTAAAAAGACGAGAGAGAGAGAGAGAGATCATGAGACGGACGGATGATGAGAGAAATGGAGCGCCTGACAATCGCCAAACAGCCTTCCCTCGCCAAACTGGTCGAGTTTCACGAATTTCGAAACTCTCGCGAAATTTCTTCATCCTCGTTTCGATTTCCAAACCAACTCATTTTTTTCTCTTTTTCTCTTTTTTCTTTTCCTCCAGTCGTTTCGAGAATACCTAACCATACTTAATGCCATACCTAACTGCTCGACGAGTAATGCCAACTCGAGGCGAATGTTAAAGATGTTGGTCGCGATGGAATTCGGCCTGAAATTCTCTCGGTTTCGAGAGATGCAACGTTTCGAAATTCGTCTAATCCGACCTCCATCGCGCGCGTCAAATTTCCGACACGCAGATGCAGCCGGGTCTGTCTAGGTCATGGTCGACCTAGGCATGGAGATCGAGCGAATTCGCAGCCGAGGTTTCGCGGCCGGCCACCTTCCTCGCGCGGAGAAACGCGAATCGCGAGCGGTGAAAGTGTTTCGGGATCGAACGCACGCGCGTTTCAATTTCTCTTCCTATCGAATTCCACGGATTCGAGTCCCGTTTCGTCACCTCGAATCGTAATCGAATAATCGACGAATAACAACAGACGGGGAGATCTTGAACGATTGTTCGTGTGTTAAAGAAAAGAAAATTTTAAGACGAGTTATTAAATTAAGATGCGCGAAAAGATTCTTCGATTCTTTCGAAGAAATAATTAAATATAAAATTGTAATAATAATAAGAAGCAAAATGACGCGTGAACGCGTTTATCTTTGTTGAAACTCTAGTCGTTGAAACTCGTCGGATTTTCCGGTTCTCTTCGATTGCCCCACGTTCGGTGAAAACTTCTCTCTACGCTTTCTCTATTGATTTACCGTCGTCTATGGTTTCCTATTACCGATCGAGGCTTTCTTCCTATGTTGCGGATTCTATCGATCGTCTACGATCACGGGTTCCACGTTTCTAACTTCTACGATTTACGAGTCTCTGTAACACTCAATTATCAAACGAATAATGGTATCTACAGTTGCGCTATCTCTACGGTTCGGGCGCGAATAAATTTGAGAATAAAATCTTTGAGACTCGAGAATTATTTTTCGCGTTGTGGATAACAATCGTTCGAAAATTTTTACTCTCAAACCTTTCATGAAACCCTTTGCATGGTACGAAGGTATAATCTCGATTATCGTTAATACTGTATTTTGATGTGAGTAAAGTGATCGTGCATGCCAAGACATCTATATAAAAAATACACTTTGACATATGTTCAAAACTGTATATATAATTATATCGTGTTTGTTTATTATACACTGTTATAATAATTATACATACGTTTCAAAGATATTACAGTAGTCGTGCGTTGAATATAATAAGTTAAGGACAAATCGAAAGTAGCATGTGCAAGACATCTAAAGAAAAAAACACGTACACACCTATCGCTATTTCGACTAAATTCGCTAACTCTCTAAGAGCAGATAAAGGAAAATTGAAATTTTGGTGAAAAATAGGAAAAGAGAGAGAACAAGTAACAAAGTGGTAACGAATAGATAAATAGAGAGAAATATTATACGTAACGTATACGGAGAGGGAAAATATAAAAGAAAGACTAATTTGGGAGAAAGAATTTCATGCCAAAGGGGTTGATGATCATATTCGATGGTTTGAAATTAGATGACGAAATTAAGATGTAACTTTTAATTTGGATGGATATCGAATATGTCTTTTATACTCATTTATACTCCATGTATATTGTTTATAAAATAAAAGAATTTTCTACAAATTATTTTTTTAAATATACGGTGATATACTTCGTTTAAAATTAAAATTATAAGAATTCTCAATTGGAAAGTTCTCGAGTTTATCTACGCTGGAAATTTCTATTTAATACTATCTCTACTAATTAATGTTTCATCTAACTTACTCTCTTATCTATTAATTATTAATCTTCTGATGAATAATATTCAAAATACTTCTCTATTGATCTAATAATGAAATCTGAAGCAACGAGATACTACTAATGGTCAAATGATTACTAATGATCCTTGACACTTTCGAATTTTTCCAATTTAAGTAAATCTCCTTTACACGCGATATAAAATATTATATTTCAATTTATTCACGTAGTTTCCAATAAAACATTTCGTTTAAGAAATAATAAATTAAAAATAGCGAAACCCAAAAAATAAGAAAAAAAAAAATTACCTCCCATTTTGTCACATAGCACAAAATTTTGATGGGCAGTCGATCATTTATCCCTTCTCGATTTACAAGCGATTCGCGCGATATTTCGAGTCGCACAAAAAAAAATCGCACAGAGATTCTCGCAAAAAAAAAAAAAAAAAATATAAAGCTTGAAGGCATCGAAATTTTGAAATGAAAATTTACAAATTTGCATCGCTCGAAGCATTTTAACGCCCCGAGACTTTTAAAACACTTGAGATTCGTTGAGACAGTTATTTCAGTTTCAAGGAAACTCGTCGAGAATCTTCGTGCCATCCTTTAAAGCGACTCGAAACTCTTAAATGAGACAATGAGAAGAAAGAAAAGGAGAGAGAAAGAGAGAAGGAATTAATTTTAAAATAAAAGAAAAAAGGAGGGAAGAAGGAAAGACAGGAGGAAAATAAGAGAGAAAAATCGAGGGGAAAGAAAGAAAGAGATAAAAAAATATCTGTGCGTAAATAGACACTTTTGTGTGTTTATGGTTCGTTTGATATTAAAACTTACGAGGGGCCTGGCGCCCCAGTACCAGGATTTGACACGTTGCGTCAGCCCACCGAGCAAGTGGGACCTCCAACCACCGAAACCTCCACCACCTCCACCCTCTGAGCTCCTTTCCTCCCTTCCTTCGTCCTCATCCTCCTCCATATCGCGATCCCTTTCCGTTCCGCCTCCGCGTCTCCCGTTACCGATCATCTCGGCGTCGCTACCATCGCAACCACCGTCGCTCTCCTGCGTCGCGACCCCGGGAGAAAAACATCGAAAGCCTCGTGTTAGCCCCATCGTCCGCCAAAACGTGATATTATAGGGTTGCATTTTCATCTCGTCGACGCGGAATTCGAACCCCTCGTTTCCCTTGTTTCAGAAGTTTGTTCTGTGTTCTGTGATCTAGGGATCTCTAGGGCTCTAGGGAGTTTTCATTCTAAGAGGGCAGCACGTTTCCTTTGTGGGTTAGACTGGTATATCTTGTAGAATAGTTTGAATTGATAACATTTGTGATTTGACAAGTTACAAATTGTCGTGGATTGTAGATTTCTCTCGTTCGTGATTTTACGATTTTAATAATAGTAATTGGATAGCAATTGATTTACTTGCGACTTGTGAAAATTTTACTAAATTGATATTAGGTTAATTGTATAAAAAAGGATTATTATTGGAAGTTGATTTAAAGATTGGAAAGGAATTTTGGGAAATTTGTCTTTTGTGCAGCTATGTTATTCTCTAATTATTTTCTAAAATTAGATAAAGATAATCTAAACTAATTGATAATTGTTAAATTTAAACATAAACTAAGAATCTTTTCTAACATCCAACTATCTATTTCCAATTTTCTAAAATATTTTCCAATCTTTATCGATTTTCGTTTATTTGCATAAAAATTACCAATGTTGGATTACAATCAAATTTGAAAATGACGAAGCACAGATTGGAAAATAAAATCCTAAAAATTTCTACGTATTTTTAATACAATCAAGTACAAGAAATTCTAAAAATTTCTTCATTTTCCCTATCAAACAGATTCTTCCATCTGTTAAAGCCACATAAATAAAAAAATTTCGTTCTTAATTTTCGATTCCTATCGAGACGAATTTCGACACCGATCGCAAAAATACGATAGATTGATAAAAATGAAATTATAACGATCTCGCTTCCAACAACAATAATTCCAAATTTCAGTTAAAAATTCTTTCGAGATGTTTTGTTAATCTCGAAAGGATTAAATCCCATCTCGTGCAATGATAACGCGCACACTGATCCACGATTCCGTTATCCGCTATTAATCGTCGGCAATGAAGCCGAGATCGATTTATATCGTAATCGCTCGCGCCGGTGTACGATTTCACGGGGTGGCGTGAAAAATACCCCCGTGGTCCGTGGACGAGCGCGGCAATCATCATTATCGCGTCACCATCGCGGTAATCCAAACCTTTCCCATCCAATACCAGAGCCGAGATAGTACGCGGAACGTGTACGCGGTCGTGGAACGAAGAGGAAAATTCTTGTTCCGTGGCAGACCTTCGATAATTCCAAGATTACAGGGAAATCGGCGCGCGATCACAGTCATAAGTGATTTCAAGGTTCCTCGCGTTGGAACGTAGACAACGCTCTCTGATTGCATGGATCGACCATCACCTTTCTTAACTTCTACTTATCTTTCTTAGATTAATCTGTGCGGTGAGATGAATGGAAAGTTTGTTGGAAGACACGGAGAGCTTTGTTCGAGGATGTTCGAGGTCTTTGTGTTTTGAATTGCGACGTTGTTATTTTTTTTTTTTTCTTTTTATAATTGAACGTTTCAGCTCTTCGTGATTATTTGTCATACACATTTTCCATTCAAGATTATATATTGTTATTATTCACGAATCCTGAGCTTCCTCGTCTGTTGCCTTAAGAAGAAGAAAAAATGACTTTTAATTCACAGGGATTGAACGTTAAAAAAAAAAAAAATCGCGTAAAGTATCTTTAATTTAAAGAAACTGCGAGTAAAACGAAATTTCAACGAAATAATATCTACACTTTCTTGGAAATTTATATCGAGAGATAAAGATTTCCATGAAATAGATAGAAATTAAACAAATATAAATATTATCACTGTTATTTCCTGTACTTGTCTCTCTTTCGAGAACCATAAACTTACATCATTCCATCCATCATTCGTAAAAATGATTCTTCGAACAACAATCGCCAAAAAAAATTCCAACGTGCAAAAATTTTATCTCCCCTAAAATCACCAAAGATCCGATTCGTACGAAATCTCTCATCTCGACGACTCATCCAATCCACTGTTGTAACAGCGAATCCCGCAATATTAATTGCCGCAAACACGAAAGGAGGATCGCGTCTGCGGTAGAATCCCAATTGTTCTCTTGTGCATTTCTCGGCTGTGCGTTCGATTGTTCGAGGCAATTAGAACAGGTGTCCGCAATTAGAGGCGTTGAGAAGTCTTCGAAGCGCGAAGGGCCGCGTTTCGCGGAAAATCTCTTAGCGGCCGAGGAACTCGCGTAATTACCGGTCGCCAATTAATCGTAATTAACGGAGGACAAGGATCGCCACCGAGCATTTCCATTACCGTGGAACGTCGTCAACGATCTAACGGGATCCAGTGAGCGTAATTCGTCCTTATACCGTGATTTTGACAAATAATTCTTCCTAGATATACTATATCGTTGAATAGCATCTATCGAATAGATATTGCAAGAATTATGGTTGAACGAATCACATAATGGAAAAACGAAAGAGTAAATAGTCGTTGTTAAAACTTACGTTACTTTGTCTTTATATAAATTAGTCTAACAAGTTTTTTACTTCGATAATTCGATGAAACGTCTTTGAGGGAAACTCGAGTCGGACAATTGAACAAAGACGATAAAACCGCAAGTGCATCTTTCAAATATACTTTCCGTTTCTTTACGCGTTCCACTTCGAAATCGTGCAAAAATATCGCATCGCGTTATTTTGTTTACTACATTTCCATTGCTGTCATGTATACGCTATATGTATATATATATATATACACTCAAAGTGAAACTCAAATCCTCGATAGTTCTCGCGTGGAGACACTAGATCGATATTGATCGTTGACCCAGATCGGGAAATCGGTCGAAGATGGGCGTCGCCTATCCTCGTTTTCGAGCTTCTGCTTCGTCTTCCCCGTATGTAACGGAGTCTCAGAAAACTTTCTCCGATAGTGACCCATTATCGGCCAGCCATTATTATCGCTGTTTCACGCAGTAGTCGGTTAAGGTTAGTGGGTAACCGCGGTTGTTGAATTACGAGCTGGATTATGTCGCCATAGAGTCAAAGAGTCGAGTTTTTCAGACTGGAACGATATCTTCGTGGAAATCCGCTCTTTTTGCGGATAACTTTATCTACCGTTAAAAGATAAACACCGTGGCGCGGGTGTAGCAATCCGGCGATCTTCGGTGCCGATATATCGACACTCTGGAGCCTTGGAACCGAGTATCGATTCCTCGATTAGATGGATTTTGCACGTGGGTGGTGGTGTTTGAAAATTATCATCCAGGGATTTTGCGCAACGCTCGGATTTCCTTTGTTCCTTGTAGGTGTTCGAATGAAAATATGTGGAAATAAATTGCAATTTTTTATACGGGTGAAATATTTAGGGCAGACATAGATTTATTATTCGGTAGAAGTGTAAATTCGGTTGTACAGAAATTTACCTTGTAACTGGATATGTGGTAATTTTTAAGAGATTTTTTATTCGCGTGTATACATCAATTTCTCGCAAAATAGGAATTTTCCGTGTTGAGTTTACTGATCGATAATTTTTTAAGCCTCGAATCGAGATTATATTTTTCGAGTATGAGTTTTCATGGAGGTTTCATGGAAAAAAAAGAAAAATAAAAATAAAAATAAAATAACATTTGCAGCGGCGAGTAGTGTTTGTTTCTTTGAAACACATGCGCATCATATCGACAATTATGTAAATTGCAATAGTTGCGTAACTATCGTGCAATTATAGGTATTGTAAAAAACCTCGTGACATTAAGATGACGCGTAAACTGCAATTATTGCGATCATCTTTCGCGCCTTTTATCGGTAAACAAAACAATAAAAAGCTTTAAATTCCTTCTCTCTCCAATAACATTATCTTACAACGCTTTCATTCTGTTATTTATTTGATCCCTTTATTTGCACAACTTTGCATCAACTTTCCGTATTAATACGCCCAACAGAAAAGTCAACCCCAAAAGCCAAGCAACTAATCGTGTTTGCGCCGTTTCACTCCGCCCAGTCTATTAAACTCCTCCATTCAATTAAACTCGAGACGCAGCTGGTAAAGTATATAATTAGTCCACAAAGAGTCCACCGATTTCGCAATTAAATCATTTCGATATCGACCTTGCTCGACCAAAGATTAAAATAGCAGAGAGTTTTGCGTTAAAACATCGAATCAACTAAACTTCTCTTCTTAAATATTATTTATAGATCGAGCGATGCGAAGAAACTGCGATGATACGAGCATGCATCGCACGATGCAAAATCAATAAGTATTCCGTTTTTTCGTTAAAATACAAGTACCAATAACAAGAGAAAATGTATCGGGTTGTAAAAATTTGTCGGCAAACGTTCGATCCTTTGCTCTATAATTTTCTCCATTTTACTTTTTTTTTAAAATTGTTCTCGACGAAATTATTCGATTGAAAAATATGATCTCCAGTTCTCTAACCAATCATCACGAGATCGTACACCGTGTTTCACGCTGTGATCCGTAAGGGTTTCATCTCAAGAGGCAAGAGAAAATCCTTAAATCCTTCGTTCTAAGAAAAAAAAAAAAAAGAAAAGAAAGAAAGAAAGAAAGAAAAGAAGAGAAAAAACAAACAACAACAACAAAATATAATTTACCCTCATCCTCTTTGCACACGATCAACAACAGTGCACGCATCTCGAATAAACTTCCCTGCACGTGTATTCCACTCGTTCCTTTTTCACGGATCGTGGACGCTGACCCACGCGAGTAGTGGCTCGTTATTAATCGCGGCTCTGCATACACACAGTGAGTCATCGAAGGGCTCGCCTCTCTCGTAAAGATAGCCGCAGGGCAAATAGGAGGATGATCCGTGGATCGAACCGGTTCGAAGATAAGGAGAGATAACCGAGAGGCGGCTCGGCGAAATCGATCAAGAAACGAGCCTGCTCCAATTTTCTTCGCGGCCGCAACTTTTTCCCGCCTCGCTCCTCCTTTGAGCCGAGCTGACAATCATGGACCG